TTCGGTACAGAGAGGTATCCGAGAGAGGTAGCTGACGAGTGAGACATGTGGCAGAGCCGATTACTGTCTCCCCACTTCTCCACTTGAAACTCTGCACTCTGTTTTTTTCTTTTCTTTAGTGTGTAAACTAGTACATTTGTGAGCCTTTCTTTCCTTTTATTGTGATGTGGAATATTGTTATCAGTAACAACCTCGTCTCGAGTGAGAATGTGCGTGTGTTTGTATTTTTCTTTGTCTTCTCTTTGAAGCTCAAACCTCCTACCCTGGGAAGTTGTCCAACTTTCACTCACCAAGCCATGCGGTAACATCGTTCTACCCCATATTTTACGCCATTGAGGGCAATGTCGAGTTTAAGTGTGGGGGGGGGGGGGTAGTTTATTATTATGCTTGTGTGTGCGATTGAATGCTTAGAGCCTTGATGTATGCCCAAAATTGAAAATTTTGAGGGCTCCAAGCAATGCATGATCGAAGTGGCTGGTTTTGTGGGTGAATCTGGTGTTTATTTGGCATTGACCTTGAATTGTTGCATGTGATTGAGTTCATCCTATTATGATGGCTGAGAGTTGCATTAGGTGTGTGCAAAAGCTTAGTTCTCATGTGTGCTTAAATGAATGGATGGCTTGACTTGGTTACTCTTTGATCATAATTGCCTTCCATAGAATTTTGTGAAATTGCAATAGACCATTGGGTGGCTAGGTAGCCATGTGAGATTTGTGTCAATCGTCTTTTTCATATGTGATAAATCCCTCTCGCCATGGTGTTTAACATTCACCGTTGTCACTAGTGAGTATGATAGAGGCATATGATTAGTCCATGCCCAAAAGTTGATTGTCCCAAAACATCTTATTCCCTAGTCAACCCCTTTGAGTCGTGTGACTTTGGGGGTCATTCTAATATTAGGAGCTTCGTGCTTGTTGAGCTTAATGGTGATTGATAGAACGACCCCTCATCCTTTCTTCGTGTCTAAACCGTTGTGAGTCATCTTTGTGTCTTGGAGCTCTCACTCTTGAGCTCCGTTGAGGTTTTACATAGGAGGATTTTGCGCGGTTCTTGCTAGAAATGAAGAAGTAGTGTTGGAGGAAGTTCTTAAAAGAGAGCATTGTTTGTAAAGTGTTAAGTTGGCAAATGTTTAACTCTCTAGTACCACCCTAAAAAAAGGAAAGTAGAAAGAAAAAATAATCGATAAAACGGGGTAAATAAAAGTAGAGAGTTGCCACAAAAGTCTAAGTGTATGCTCTAGAAAAGGTTTCTTGGCACTCAAGCCATTGAAACACCTAAATTGTTTGTTGACCTCCTTCACTACTATAATTGAATTGTGTATAGCCAGATAGGCCGAGGAAGTGCGCTTGAATGTAGTTCGTGATTGGTAGTGGTCTGGAATAAGGAAAGTGTGGTTTTTTGCCAATGCTAGTGGTCGTTGGGTGTAGAGAAGGTTCGTAGTCGAAGCCATAGAACCTTCAGTTTCAGGGTGAAGATGTAGGACCTCTTGCTATGTTTGCTACTACCCAAAAATGCATTTTCCTCATGTCCAAGATAATTTCCAGTCATTTGAACCCGTGTCTGAGACCTCTGGACAAGCTAGTGATGACAACCATCCCGTGAACTCTAGCATTTAGAGGTTGCTGTCGTGGTGGAGAGACGAGAGAGCTGAGTGTTGATGGTTGTGCACATCTTTTGCACCAAATGGTCCTGACCCCACTGGTCGAGAGTGAGTGATTCATTCATGTTTTGCATGTTCATATCTTACACCAGTGGGGACCTATGTTGCCCCTTCGTTTGTGCCTTGGACTTGAACTCTATGCACAGTTAGATGTGGTTGGTGAGTGGTTTTGTCGAGACTTGTGTGGGTTTGAAAACATGGTAAGAACTTTTAATTAGCACATTCTTAATGCATTTGAATGTCGTTTGTGGTGGATGTCGGTATTGTTTGTAGCGGTTCATGTGTGGATGTCCACTAGCCATTGAGATTCACCATTTCGTGCCCTTTGATTTGTCCCCAAGTTATCTTGTTAGTTTGAGATATTACCTTAGTTGAAAATGGTTTTCTTGGTGACAAGAAAACGTCTAAGTGTCGGGGAGTGATTCGGGCTTAATTGTATAATTTTTATCCCCGTTTTCGTTAGGCGTTTGAGGCATTTGAACTCCGAGAGGTTTGGTTTTACGCTAGTTTTTGCCTTGCCTTAGCGTGTTTCAGACTCAAGCAGGTGGAACCAGCCCTGGAGTCAGAAGTTTGACAAAAAGACGCAAAATCGGGTCAAAGGATGGAGGCAGCCGCAGATCACGGCAGAAGTAGAGAGTTCATGGTCAGGAGGACCGTGAAATAAAGCTAGAGACCGTGAAGCACCATGCATCCAAAGGCATTTTCGGTCTCACTGGACTCAAGTCAGTTTATAGTCGTAAGACTGTGAACCCAAGCTAGAGATCGTGAAGAGCCTAAATGATGTAGTGCGTTTTTGCTCCAGATTGCGGTCCCCGCCAGTTGTTCACGGCCGTGAACCCTCTTTGTACATATTAGCACCTAGGGTTGGTTGTAATTTGGCCGTCCGAACTCCGATTCGAGGGTGAAGTTTTGGAAACCCTTAGTCAATAGGTCAAGAGAGCTACTTTGGTAGCTTGAATCTAATTCCCTTGACCTATTGACCGAGAGAGTGGTGTTCGTTCACTTGTTGCACTTCCCTACGATTTACAACCGCCTTACCACACGTTTTCATTCAATCCAACAAGTCATAATTGCTAGCTAGGGGGGCAACACCAGGGTGAAACCTTCTCAATTAGTTTCAAATCCATTTACTTGTCCAAATATTTTAACCATAGATAGTTGTTTTTACCAAAAACCAAACACTAGATAATGTTTCAAACAATCAAAGTAGGGTTACATTGGCAGACCCGAGGTTGATATTTAAACATACTTACCCTATATTGCATCCAATTAGGGTTTATAATTTGGCCCTAATTGGGAGTTTTATTGTGATATTCGGGACGAGTCAACATTTAACTTCGGAGTTCTCACAAGAACTCCTTCATCTCACCCCAAAACGCATCTTGTCAGTTCAGGTCGGTTTCTTACTTATGAACCATGGATCTCTTTTGTGCTTTGTTGATGTATGATTCTCCTAAGGTGTTACATACAACCCCCCCCCCCCCCAAATTGGGACTCAATATCCTCATTGAGGTTTGCGCCACCATCGTGGCACGCACATATGTTCTGATACCATTTGTAACATCACAAACCTTTTCTCAACTAAGATATTGTCTGCTTTGGGCCCATACCTGCACGATTTTTGCCGTGGAAAACATATCGAGGTGACTTCACATAAGTTCACTCATCCTTGCAGTATTCCACAACGAGCACGTTTAATTCAGAGTTCTCACAAGAACTCCTACATTTTACCCCAAAACTCGTCATGTCAGTTAAGGTAGGTTTCTTACTTATGAACCATGGATCTCTCTCCTACTTTGTCTATGCGGGATTCGCCTAAGGTGTTCTAGGTATCTACAAAAAATATGCATTTTGTATGTGTGTGAAATAAAAAATATTCACAAAATCATAAGGTACTCACTTGTGATAAATAATCATAGCTCTATTGCATATCTTCACACCGTGAATTTTCCTTTCCTTGACATCTTTAGTTAATAGATTTGTAAATTCTCCAAGTATAGTAGAACAGATAAAGGGAGAGGGGGTGTCAATGATGAATTGAAACTTTTATCTAGGGGTGTCTTCTTCACTAAATTAAATTAGATATTAAATAAAAATTCAAACTATTACAAGTTATAACGAAACACCACGTCGTGTTTCACATTTGGAAAAATTATAAAACATTAACTATCTATAGTGCTCAACAAATCTTTTTCAATATATTTTATAGAAAATCATTCATGAACTAATTGTATATCCAATTTATAACCTTGTTCTTGACCCAATTCCAAAGGAACTCTTTCAACATGAACGGTTGAAGAACATGGAGAGAAGATGAGTCGACTCTCTTTTTTACTTCCTTCATCAAGTATCGAAGGATAGGGACTGCTAGATTGAAATTTAGCTTTCAGGTTTTGGAAGAAAAATTGGAGAAACTGGGTACAATTGGACTATTGTTTTAGACTATTATTATATTCTTGTTTGAAATAAAACAATAAATGAGTTGCAGTCTAATTGAAAACATATTCACTAATAATTGTGGTGTCATAGTTCGAATCACAAAGATTACCATTTTTTCCTCTTCCGCTCAAACTACTATCGTCGATGGATAATTTTCCCCCAAATTTTAGGAATGGCCTAGGACACCTCTCATCGACCATGGGTCCGCCCCTGGGGGTCTATTTGTCTTAGGCCGAGAGTATGATAGAATACCTTGGACTTATGCTCGTTAACAATGGTAGATTGCAATATTGACTTGATGCATATCATGATTAACCGAATCCAGTTTTCGAGACATTCGAGCTTCTTCATCGCCTTTTTCAAGAAAGACTATTCCACCCGGTCATACGCTTTGGCCATATCAAATTCACAGACATATAATCCTTATTTGTTTCTTCTTCATGTAATGGAATTATTCAAAAGACGATACAACATTATCATGAATAAATCATCATGGGACATAAACACTCTATGTCTTCGAGATGAGGTTGTCCAAATTTCTTAAACACATTGGCGAGAATTTTTAGAAATTGCCTTGTAAATAACTTGACATAGATTGGTTAAAAGTCACTCAGGGAGGAGGGGTCCCAAAAAGTCTCCTTTATGTGAGAGATTCTCTCCCCATGTTCTTGGGCTGTGTTTCATCTTCCTCCCTTTCATGAAGGTTACTTGGATCTTTTGATTCATTTTCTTCTCTCTTCTCTTTCTTTATGACCTCTTTGTCATGGGCATCTTTCTCTTGTGGTGTTTGTTCACATTCTCAAATCACTTTGCTGGAGAGTTTTTTGACAGCTTAATCCTTGTGTCTCTTCATATCCTCCCCTTCCCTTCGCCTCTTCCTCCTTTTCTCTTCCCTCGCCCTTGTTCCTCCTCTCATACATGTCCCCCTGCCAACATGAGAATCATTAGTTTAGTCTGTAGAGACTTGGTCAGTCCTTAAGCAGTCTCATTTTACATGATATTGTTCTCGAACAGAAACCATACATGATTTTGCTTTTGAATAAAAAATCTCAAAATTAGAATGGGAACAATTACACAACAAATGGGTTTCAAAAATAGTAATAGCTTCCCTACAAATAACATAGTGGGTGGCATTTGCTTATTATAAAATGATGAGGTTGGTCTCTCAGTAAGATCTAGCTCTTTCAACCATTTGGATGGAGATGTTTCACTCTCTAATGGTGACCTGCCATGAATTCTCATATTAAAGACTGAAACTTGTATATGACATATTTCCACCAAATCCTATCATGGGCTAAAAAGACAAGGGGTAATCTGATGGAAGAAAATATGTCTCTGTACTTTTGGAAAGTTCTAAATGAGTGTATAATATGTTTGAGTGTGGTTTCAAAAGTTATTCCTTTACTTGAGATAATAGCAGAAAAATGAGAAATTTATTGAAAAAATATTGATAGATTTGTTGCTCAATTTGAATGCCAACCTCTCATGTCCCTCACTTGGATATGTGTGGATCTTATCACTACTGTTCACTCTAATGGATACAATACAATACATAAAGATACAAACGAGATAAATGGAGGCAAAGCTTGAAATGTAATCCTACTAGTTGAAGGACCCTAAATGCAACAAAATAGTAGTAAAGGTATGAAGCATAGAAAATTTTAGGAATGTTAGTAAAAGGTTGGGGATCGTAAAAAAAAAAAACACAGAAAAATCAAGTTTCAACCCAAGACTGCAGAAATTATTGACCAAAGAAGAAGTTCGAAAGTTGAAAAATCTTATAAAAGAATGATCTCAAATTGAAGCATAGATTTAGAGTTGATTGGCTAAGAGCGGGAGAGAAGAACACAAAATTCTTTTATGCTAACACTTTTGCCCGACGAATAAAAATTATTATGATAAAATTGAAGGATGAAGTGAATAGGATATCATAAGGGAAGGAGGAAGTCATGGAATGTGTTAACGAATGCCACAACTTTTTGCTCAAAGAGACTATCACTATTGTAATGTGGTTATTAAAGCAATTGAACTGAAAATTATAGAGGACATTGATCACATTTTATCAGCCCCTTTGGAAAAAAAAATTATTAATGTTTCGAAACATATAGGACCCCATAAGGCCACGGGATCCGATAGATTTTCTGCCAAATCTTACAAAAAAAAAAAAATTAAACTCATTTGGGATGGATTTTTTATGAGGAAGTATTGTAGAGTGGGTTGTCATCATTACTCGACTTGAGAGTTTGTTTAACAACAATTTTCAGCCATTTGTCTCGCTTTTCTTTAGCATTTATTTGTTTATTAAAAAATATTATACCTTTTTGTTTTTAGTAGAAAAAATTTATGTTTCCCCATTACATCCAAAGCTTCGATTTTTTCCCTTTTTCTATGAGTACTTACAAAAACTGCTTCAATTTTTTTTCCAGAATTAATGAAACAAACAAAATTTTAAAGGCAAAAAAATAAAAGGAAACATACTATGTTAAAAAAAAGAAAGTAAACAACAGCCACAGCCAGGACGAACGATCGGGTAGACGAATAGATATAGATATCTTCATCCCCTTCCCATTGTATTCAGCCGCTGATGTTCACTCTCCCTCTCTCTCTCTCTCCTCCGTTCTGCTTCTAAAAATATATAAAACTCTTTCCTTCCTTTCCCTTCCCTTCCTCACATTCATTCTCCCTCGTCTTCCTCTAATTAATTCTTCCCTCTCTTTCTCTCCGAGCCTTCCATTTCTCTATATTTCCTCTTTTCGTTTAGATTCACACGAGGGAGAATTATACTCAAAGATTACGTGCAAGGCAACAACCACTAGCATCGAAAGAAGAAGAAGAAGAACATAAAAAATGGCGTCTAATATTGGGATGATGGACGGCGCATATTTTGTCGGCAGGAATGAGATATTGACTTGGATCAACAATTGTCTTCAACTCAATCTCTCCCGCATTGAAGAGGTCCTCCGTCGTTTCCTCCTTCTCCTTTTCCTGTTTACGGCATTGTTGGCGGGAATGGGAAAGGACATGTTCTTCTTTCGCTGCTTTTGACTTTTGTGACTTAGCTTCCATTTACAGGGATTTAGGTTTCTGTGCTTCCAACTGATGCTCGTTATTAGAACTATACTATGTTCTTTCTTTAATGGTGTAGTAATTATTTTATGAAGTTCGGCCTCTGATTCTATTTTGTCTAATTGGGGATTAAATTTTGATGACTGGAGATTGAAGGTGTTGATTGATCAAATCAACCCTTCGTGACTTTTTTTCCTTGAGGATTTTGATATGAAGTTCTTCGTTTGATGAAGGAATATTTGGATGATGATGTAGACTGTTCATCTTGTTTATGATGTTGGCTTTCTATCCTTGGTTTGATTGATGGTTTCTTTCATATATGGTGCAGGCTGCGTCTGGTGCTGTTCAATGTCAGATGATGGATTTGACTCATCCAGGAGTTGTGCCAATGCACAAGGTGGTGACAAGACTATGCTTCTCTCATCTTTCGGTCATTTAATGCCCATACTTTACCAATTTGAGAATTGCAATTCTATAGAAGCTTCACTTTGTGATGCTAGTTTTGGTTCTATTGTAGGTGAATTTTGATGCCAAGTCTGAATATGACTATATCCAGAACTACAAAGTGTTACAGGATGTATTTAACAAGTTAAAAATTGAAAAGGTATCACTTTGTAATTTCTAGCTTTTTCTTTTTAAGTACTTTCATCGTTGTCTCCCTTCTTCGAGTTTTGTTATATTATGGTTTGAGCTCGTGATTAGTTGGCGGGATCAACTTTAGGCCTATGGAGCTACGTGGTTTTACAACTTAACTTTGATGGTTTTAACACTAGGATTCCAGAACCAATAACGATGACTGTTTTGGGGAGGGTATATCATATCATGTTACCAATTAGTGTGTGGCCGCAAAATGAAGTGATTGAATGGCGGAAAAGAGAGAAAATTATCAGAGATCTTGTGGTAGCTAGAAAATTCATGTCATATCAACTCGTAGGATATGGTTGCTTCCGTATTTGCAATCAGCTTAACCTAGAAAAAGTCTTATGACTGGCATCCCTGCCTTCTTTCGCTTGCATGGGCAGCATATCGAAGTGAACAAGCTTGTTAAGGCAAGGCCATTGGACAATTTGGAGTTCTTACAATGGCTTAAGAGATACTGTGATTCTGTTAATGGCGGCATTATGAACGAGTATGCTAACTCCATGGCGTATTTTCTTCATTTTTACTCTTTTCTTTACCGCTAAAGGGTTTGCTCCCGATGGAAGTTCTTTGATAGTAACTTGCACATGTTGTTGCATTCCAGGAATTATAATCCCATTGAAAGGAGATGCAAGGGCGGAAAAGAGCGAGTTAGGGGCTCTATAAAGGCTTCAAAATCATTGCAATCAAATAATTCCCATCATCATTCTGCCACAGTTGACTCAGGTGGAATGCATAAAACTCTCAGTCAGCATGCACCACCAAACTAGCTTACATTCCTATTGCTAGTATTTTTGTTCACATGGAGACAATATTACTTCATTGCAGGGCCTAAGCCAGGTAGGGTAAGTACTGGGTCAATAGGAGGCCATAATTCATCAGTAGATATCCAGGCGTTGTCGAATGAGGTATAACTCACCCTCTTCTTATTCCCTTGAACTAATTAAGAGTATTTCATGCTCGACTCCCTTGCATTTAGATTCTTGTTTTGTACTTTGTCCATTTATTGTGTGCAGATTACAGATTTGAAGTTGTCGGTGGACCTACTGGAGAAAGAGAGAGACTTTTACTTTGCGAAGCTACGAGATATAGAGATACTTTGTCAGATCCAAGAGTTGGAAGAGCTTCCGGTAAGGGAGAAGCCTATATCCAAATAAACCAACGAGGATTAAGATGTGTTGTCTCTTTGACCAAATTCACGTTATTTGTTTATGAATATATGTAGGTGACAGTTTCTATCAAGAAGATACTATATGCAGCCGATGCCAAGGAGTCCGCACTTGAGGAAGCTCAGGAGTATCTGGCAGAAGCAATGAATGCTGGTGAAGAAGAAGGAGAGGAAGCCTGAGCTCGAGGGAGATACTGAGCTAGCACAAGTGCTTAAAGGGAAGTTTATTCCACCACCTCCCCAAAACCAAGGAAGCGCAAACAGGGCCCTTTAAACTCGCTATTGAGGGGCGCTTGTTGATCATATGCCGGAGAAGAAACTGCTAAAGAGGTTGTGCTCCTGTCATGGTCAATGATCAAGTATCCTTGATATAATGTGGAAGTACCAATCTTCTTTGAGTTTTTTAATATACCAGCTAACCAGCTTGTACATCGGATGTGTGTATTGTGTTGTTGAAAGAGGTTGTATTTGATGGAGCCTGTAAGTTTTTTATTTGGGGTAGGAAAACAGAAAATATTTGAAATTTAAGGGTCATCCTTAACCCTAACACTGGGCTCAGTTAAGCCACAGATGGAGTGTTGGGCCTTTGTTTAAACTAAATAACTGTTTATCTTTGAATTTGGTATTTTCTAGAGGGTGTCCTTGATGTGATGGGTTGATTTGTTTGGGCCGCAAAGGGTGTTCGTTTTTGCTTGCATCTCATAACTTCACTTGGTCCAAGGAAGTTTGAGATGATCATGAACTGATTCTCACTGCTACTCTGCTCCAATTAACATTCATCAATCCTTCTTTTGTGTGTCATTGTTAATACGTTGGTATCTGGTTGTTAACCGACTCCTTAAGAAGACTGTGCTAGTAGTTGGCATGATCATTTACCCTAAATAAAAGGCCTTCCTATGATTTATGAGAAATAAGCGGTTGTTTAAAGTCGTGTCTGGCTTTGGCTTAACATTGAGGGATGATCGTTCATCCTATATGCTCTTTCTCCATTTCCCTGGTCATGAACGAAGATGGTGATTTATGGAAGGGAGGTCCTTGAAGCAATTTACTTTG